GATGGTTGGTGTGGATTCAATAGGCCAAATGGCCTGCTTCCATACTGTAGCGATTCAATGGAGTGTTAAGTTCCTAGGAGCAATGATAATTGACAATCTGTCCTGGACCTCCGACATAGATGTGACGGTCAAGAAGGCACAGCAACGCCCCTTCTTCTGCAGGCTGCTTAGGAAATTCAGCATGTCCATAAGGACCAGCACCAACTTTTACAGATGCTCCATAGAAAACATTCTATCCAGGTGCACAGTGGCCTGGTATGACAACTGCTCAGCCCAGGACTGTAAGTAACATGGAAAGTTGTGTGCACAGCCCAGACCATCATGGAAGCCAACCTTCCATCCGTGGACTTCATTTACACTTTTCATTGCCACAGAAAGGCTGCCAACATCATCAAAGATACCTCTTAACATGGTAATGCTCTCTTCCAAACTCTTCCATCAGGCAGAAGATATAGAAACTTGAACACATGCACCAACAGGTTCAAAAACAGCTTCTTCTCTGCTGTTATTAGGCTGCTGAATGGACCTCACCAACTTCAAATAATGTTGATCTTGCTAATGTTGATCTTGCTTTGCACACCTCCTGTGCAACTGTAACCTTGAATGCCTTGCTGTGTCTAAGCACCCTATGATCTGTATGTCCTTGTTTGCTATCATCTGTCTCTACTGCTCGCAAAACAAAGCTTTTCACTGTACTTAGGTACATATGACTACAATAAATCAAATCAAATTAATATTATAAATCAAAAAGATTGTCAAACTCAGGAAATAGTCTGCAACTATATTTCCAATAGAATTCTTTACATTTAAGGCACAGGAGTAGGCCTCTTGATCTTGCTCTTCCATTTAATAAAATCATAGCGGATCTGCAATTCCTGATGACCCCAGAAAAACGTTCACACCTTGCCAACCAAGATTATATTCACTGCTGCCTTAAAAATATTCAAAGACTCTGCATTTACAATCAATTGAGGAAGAGAGTTCGAAAGACTTTCTAAACTCAGAGAGAAACTTTCCTAAATGGCCAACCCTTTTTTTTAAAATGGTGAACTCTAAGACTATGAGGGGAAACACCCTCTCAGCATTTATCCTGTCAAGCCCCTTTACAAGTGTTTAGTCCTTTTTAGCCTTAGTCGTAAGACAATCCCTCCATATTAGGGATCATCTATTGAACCTTCTCTGAACTGCCTCCAATTAAAAGACCATATGACATTGGAACATGGAACAGAAGTAGAACATTCAGTCCATCAAGTCCTCTCTTCCATTGAATGAAGTCATGGCAGATCTGATAATCCTCAAATCCACTTTCCTGTCTTTTCTCGTAACTCTTGATTCCTTTACTGATTAAAAACCTGTCTATATTAGCCTTGAAATATACTCAACAACCCAACCTTAACAGCCTTCTGCAGTAAAGAATCCTACCAATTCACCACTCTCTGAGAAAAAAAAAACCTCCTCATTACTGTCTTAAATGGGTGACTCCTTACTCGGAGATTATGTCCTCTGGTTGTTGAATCTCCCATAATGAGGAACAACTTCACTGCATTGACTTCGTCAGGGTCCCTAAGAATCTTACATGTTTTAATAAGGTCTTCTCTCATTCTCCTAAACTTTAATGTGTACAAGCTCAACTTGCTCAATCACTTTTCTTAAGAAAATCCTTTTATAGCTGGCACCAATCTCGTGAACCTTCTCTGTATTACCTCCGATGCCATTATATCTTTCATTTGATAAGGGAACCAAAACTATTCACAGCATTCCATCTGTGCCCTGACTCATGCCTGTACAGTTTCAGCAAGAACTCCCTATTTTTGTGTTCTAATGCCTTTGAAATAAAGGGTAATATTCCACTTGGCTTTCTTATTAGCAACTGAACTTGGATGTTGAACTTTTTTTGATTCATGCCCTAGAATCCTCAAAACCTCTGTGCTGCAGCTTTCTGCAGTTTCTCCACATTAAAACAATATTCAACTTTTCTATTCTTTCTGACAAAGTGCATAAATTCACTTTTTGCCACATGATATACCATCTGCCAAGTTTCTTTGCCCACGCACTTAACCTTTCTATATATCTCTGTAGACAATAAGAGCATAGGATGTAGAAAGGGGAGTAGGCTGTTCAACTTTTTGAAGCTGCTCCACCACTTAATACGATCATGGCTGATCTGACACTCCTCATGTCCACTTTACTGCCCTTTTCCCATTGCCCTTGATTCCTCTCCTGATCAAGAATCTATCCATCTCAGCCTTAAATATGCTCAAAGACTCTGTCCCTACAGCTCTCTATGGCAAGGAACTCCTAAGATTCAGAAGCTTTTAAAAAAGAAAGTCCTCCTCATCTCAATCTTAAATTTGCCCCCTTTATTCTGAGAGTATGTCCTTGGGTCTAAGACTATGAGGGGAAACACCCTCTCAGCATTTATTCTGTCAAGCCCCTTTAGAATCTTACCCATTTTATGAGATCATATCTCATTCTTCTAAACTACAGTAGGAAGTGTTTAGTCCTGTTTAGCATTAGTCATAAGACAATCCTTCCATATTAGGGATAATCTATTGAACCTTCTCTGAACTGCCTCCAATTAAATGATATCTTTCCATAAATAAGGAAACCAAACTACTCACAGTATTCCAGATATAGTCTCACCAGCACCTTGTACAGTTGCAGTAAGACTTCCCTACTCTTATACTTCAACCCTCTTGAAATAAGGACTAACATTCCACTGGCCTTCCTAATTACCTGCTGCACTTGTGTGCTAATTTTCTGTGTTTCACGCACAAGTAGCCCCAAGTCCCTTTGTGTTACAGCTTTCTGCAGTTTTTATTCATTTAAATAAAATTTGCCTCTTTTGTTCTTCCTCCCAAAATAACAAAATTACATTTTCCCACATTATACTCAACTTGTCAACTTTTTGCCCATTTATTTAATCTATCAATATTTTGGTGTAAACTGTTTGTATCCCTCTCACAACCAGCCTTTCCAACCATATTTGTGTCATCTTCAAATTTGGCTGCGGTATATTCACTTACTTTCTCCAAGTCATAAATATATATTGTAAATAATTGTGATCCCAATGCTGATGTCTGTGATATTTCATTATGTAGACACTGCCATCTTGAAAATGCCCTCCTTTGCCTGAATTCTCTTATCTTATTGTAGCTTTGTGTGTGCCACCTTATCAAATGCCTTTTGGAAGTATAAGTATATTACATCTACTGGTTCCCCTTTATCTATCCTGCTTGTTGCCTCCTGAAAGGATCATAATAAATTTGTCAGGCGTGATTTCCCTTTCATGAAGCCATGCTGGGTTTCTAAATGGTTTGCTATTACAAACTTTATAATTGGCTCTGACATTTTTCCAACAACAGACGTTAAAATAACAGGCCTACAGTTAGTTAAGGTAAAGTCATCATAGTCTCAGAGGCTTGCTGTCTGATTAGAGAGAGAAAGACTGAGAATTAGTGGTGAGTTTAACCTGAAGATCACCATGCCTCAGGTGAGGGACAAGATTATGAATACAGGACCTTCACAGTAACCTTAGCCAGAGCAGGAAATGAACCCATGCTGTTGGTAGAACTCTGCATCATAAACCAGCTATCAAGCCAACTGAGCTAACTGATTTCCAATAGTTATGGTTTATAGTTACCTGTTTTTTTGTCTCCCACCCTTTTTAAATAAAGGTTTTACATTGGTAGTTTTGCAATCCTCTGGGACTTTTTGAGAATATTTGGAGACTTGGAATATTAATGATCATCTTTGTATATACTTCGTTTAAAATCCTAGGATGCAACTCATCAGATCCAGGGGACTAATTAGCCATTAGTTAAAATTTTATTTTACTTTTACTTCTGACTTAAATTTCGACTTAGTGTTTTCCATCTCTCATGATTTTGGATTCTGCTCATTCCATTGTGTAGTTTTAACCTAAATCTAATAAATAATCTGCTTCACACCAGATTATGTTGACCAGAACAATTACATTATGGCACCATCAGTTCAAGCTATTTAGTTTTCATATGATAAGTGACATTAGATTGATATCGAGAAGAGTCTACAAGCTAATGCTTGCACCTGATTGACTCATCCACCTGAATTTTTCTCTAAGGAGATAGGCTCCGATCTTCCAATCTCCAGAATGTCAAAGACTGGATATACTGTGAAAAAACCCAGATCAGAACCTCTCAGAAGTTCTAATGCACTCACAACACAGTAAGTCATGGGGAAGTTTAAACTTCTAAGGGGCAATAACCTGACAGATGTAACCCTCTGAAAAGATCTCCAATACTGAATTAGAGTCAGGAACTTTGAAAGGTACCATCTTATTTAATATCCTTCAGGAAAACCTAGAGGGGTAAAAACCTACTCTAATCCTGGGTAATAATAAAAGTGATCCCCACCCTCCAATCACTGATAGTGAACTGACTCCCTGTCCTGACTGCCCTCAGGCCCTGTGATATGTTGCCTTCCCCTAATTTGGACCTGACAGAAGGGAGCTTTATGCAATCCTGCTTTTAGGAGTACCCACTTCACTGATTAACTGATGAAGTGGATCTATTTGCTGCTATTTTATAGATCTGACAGGCTAATTCCATGGAGATGATATTACAATTGAATTTGGAAATAGTACGAACTGCCGATGCTAGAGAATCTGAGATAACAAAGTGTAGAGCTGGATGAACACAGCAGGCCAAGCAGCATCAGAGGAGCAGGAAAGCTGATGTTTCGGGTCTGGACCCTTCTTCAGAAATTTATATCATAAGGATTATGATAATATGTTACATGTTATACAGTGTCACCACACTAAAAAAGAGATTTGATGGAGAATTTATGCAATAGAATTTGTAAGAACAATGCACATACTTAAATCCAGAGGATGAGTAGAAGGCTGAAGATCTTGCCAGATACCAAAGCAGTTGACAAAATCTTTGTTAGGAGACCTTCTTATAATCTGAAAATATATTTCGCTTTCAAATTTTATCTGCTGTTTCTCTACTTTCCCCCAGGAACCATCCACGTAAAACATCTGGCCCTGAACTAAACCAGGAACATGAGAATTCTCAAGGATACAGGCTATCATGGCAGTTCCCAGGTACAGAGTTCAAGATATATGCTAATGATCACAGATAACTTGCACACTGATGGAATGGAACCCTTTTCGATTGATGAACTCATCTGTATTATTAAGTAGCCCTCTTAACATGGTTTGTACATAGTTAATTGTGACCTACATCTGGGAGGAGTCAGCTATGCCAAAGTGGACTGCAGTGGATCCTTGAAAGGAGCCAGAACCATAAAAGTTTAGTGCAGCTATCACTTCGATGGCTACACATCCCTTCAGGTCACACATCTCACTCCAGCAGCTGGCATAGTTCTGTAATGGTGGGCTGGAACATCCTCTAGTCTACGGTGACACTGTGTCCCCATTCATCTGGAGGAAATGGTATCAAGAATGATAGACCTGTCCCTACTGTACCTCATGTGCAACCTTTAGTTGTGATCTCTTCCTGTGTGGGCTGTTCTTTGGCATTTGCTGCTGGTCTTGCACTTTCATAGCACCGTGACCACAATGATAATGAACCCTGCTGTAGCTGGATCCATTGGTTACTCCTTCAATGAACTTGTGTGGGGAATGTTAGAAACAGGGTAGGTACTTAGGAATGTGGACAGTCAATGATATGCATCAGGCACAAATGACAGCTTAGCACACTCTTTTATACAATGGCCCATGGAGGACTCTGACAAAGAGGGCCATGGAATGCCTCTGCATGGTTTGTTGTCATAGGGGCCTTATATCAATGAATGCATCAGCAATCATGTTGCAAAAATGTTGGAAATTGTAAGTGTTGTTTGAGTACGAGATCTTGTGATCCCAACTTCACTTCACCCATGACAGACATTGTTACACATAAGAGAGTGTTGGTGAATATAACAGGCCAAGGTAAGATAGACTCAGTACTATGCTCCTGTGCATCCTATGGGACCTTGGATTGTCTTTGTGAATTGTGATGAACTGTATCTAATTCCGTCTTGAAAACATTCAATGTTTTGGTCTCAACCACTTTCTGTGGCAGGGAATTGCATAGCTCACCACTCTCTGGTAAAAGAAACTTTCTCCTAATGTCAGTCCTAAATTGCCTACACTGTATTTTTAGAATGTGACCCCTTGTCCTGGACTCACTGGTCATGGAGATCATTTCTGCATTTATCCTGTCTAGTCCTTTTAGAATTTCATAGCATTGAATGAACATACCCTCATTCTTCGAAACTTCAATGAATAACTTAGCCAGTCTCTTTTGATTTGTCAGCCCCGCCATCCCAGGAACAAGTCTGGTTTACCGCATTGCACTCTTTCCATAGTCAGAACATCCTTCCTCAGACAAGGAAACCAAAATTGCACACAATACTCCAGGTGTGGTGTCATCAAGGCCTTGTAAAATTGCACTAAGTCAGCCATGCACTTGTACTTAAATCCTCTTGCAATGCAGGCCATATTACATTTGGAGATAGTAAGAACTGCTGATGCTGGAGCCAGAGATAACACAGTGTGGAGCTGGAGGAACATAGCAGGCCAGGCAGCATCAGAGGAGTAGGAAAGTTGACGTTTCAGGTTGGGGAATTGCACAGCTCACCACTCTCTGGTAAAAAACTTTCTCCTCATGTCAGTCCTAAATTGCCTACACTGTATTTTTAGAATGTGACCCCTTGTCCTGGACTCGTCAACTTTCCTACTCCTCTGATGCTGCCTGGCCTGCTGTGTTTCTCCAGCTCCACACGATATTCCATTTGCCTTCTTCACTGCCTGCTGCACCTGCATTCTTATCTTCAGCGACTGGTGTACAAGGGCACCCAGCTTTTGTTGCACCTCCCCTTTTCCAATCTATTACCATTCAGAAAATAACCTGCCTTCCTGTTTTTGCTGCCACAGTGGATAACCTTGCATTTATCCACATTATATTTCATCAACCATGCATTTGCCCAATCACTCAAAATTAAATTAAAGAAATCAAATGGAGGCATGGCCATGGTGTACAGGGAGTTAAATCCCTAAAAGTGCTTTCTGATCCAGCATCATCCTGTTTTGGTTTTATTCACTTGAGGCATGTGGGCGACGCTGACTGACCAGTATTTATTGCCTGTCCCTAGTTGCTCTTGAACTGAGTGGTTTGTGAGGCTATTTCAGAGGGCAATCAACCATGTTGCTTTGGGTCTGGAGTCAAATAAAGCCAGCCTAGGTGAGGACAGCAGATTTTCTTCCCTCAGGACTTTCTTCCTTCTGCACTTTCTACTCTCTCTGGCAGAGGAAGGGGCTGCCTTACTGTCTAGCATGGTTATGCATGTTCACAAACTGCTTCTGCACCCATTCCCATCACATCATTATGCTCTCCCACTACATGCAGTGTGTTTGCCAAGTGAGATGCTGCTGCATGTGCAACCTCTGATATTGCTGCAGCACAGCTCCTTTGAGCAACATGTACCACCCCTACGCTTTACTCTTCATTGTTCCTCCAGACACATGCTCCTGCCTTTCCTTCTTTGTTAAACATTCCTTTCCAGATTCAAGCTGCCTGTCTTCCCTTCTCCATTAAAGTGCCATTGTGAGAGAAATGCTGCCTGTTCCTGCTGGCTGAAGTATGACTTGCGAAGCTAATTCTGGTATGTCACCATTGCCCAGTGTGCAGAGTGATGGTTCGGAATGTATGCCATTGTCAACATGGAGTTGATGACTGCAACTGTAGCAGTTCCATTAAAACGGGAGAGAATGATTACTGTCTTGACCTTGATATACTTGCCCGAATTGGAGGTAGATGGCCTCACTTGTCAGGTATGCATTTGATTTATGCAATTGAGTTTCTGGAACATTGAGTATCTTGATTAGGCTGACATTAATATTAAAGTGAAAACTAATTCTGGCGAATGAGGTAATTAAAGAATGCAAATGCATGGATATAGGCTTCTCACCATCTGATGGCCAAAAAGTGATCTCAGCATCTAAAAAGGGTGGATTAATTACAGATTAACTCAATTGATCTGATTTTTGGTCTCCCACCCTAGTAATTCATCATGCTCGTCTTTTTCAGGAAATAAAAAATCCAGTGTAACTGCTATTTTTACCAAGTAGGCTGACTTTAATAGTAAATACTTCAAGCTGTAAGAAACTCTCCAGTGCCAATCAGCTGAGTGTACAGTGGGAGTTCTTCTTCAGTGAAACTTACAGACTGGGAAAGCTTTTAAAAGTGAAACTGAACATAGAACATAGAACATTACAGCGCAGTACAGGCCCTTCGGCCCTCGATGTTGCGCCGACCTGTGAAACCAATCTGAAGCCCATCGAACCTAAACTATTCCATTATCATCCATATCTTTATCCAATGACCATTTAAATGCCCTTAAAGTGGGCGAGTCTACTATTTTTGCAGGCAGGGCATTCCACGCCCTTACTACTCTCTGAGTAAAGAACCTACCTCTGACATCTGTCCTATATCTATCACCCCTCAATTTAAAGCTATGTCCCCTCGTGCTAGCCATCACCATCCGAGGAAAAAGGCTCCCACTGTCCACCCTATCTAATCCTCTGATCATCTTGTATGTCTCTATCAAGTCACCTCTTAACCTTCTTCTCTCTAACGAAAACAGCCTCAAGACCCTTAGCCTTTCCTCATAAGACCTTCCCTCCATACCAGGCAACATCCTGGTAAATCTCCTCTGCACCCTTTCCAATGTTTCCACATCCTTCCTATAATGCGGTGACCAGAACTGTACGCAATACTCCAAGTGCGGCCGCACCAGAGTTTTGTACAGCTGCAACATGACCTCATGGCTCCGAAACTCAATCCCTCTACCAATAAAACCTAACATACTGTACGCCTTCTTAACAACGCTATCAACCTGGGTGGCAACTTTCAGTGATCTATGCACATGGACACCGAGATCTTTCTGCTCATCCAAACTACCAAGAATCTTACCATTAGCCCAGTACTCTGTATTCCTGTTATTCCTTCCAAAGTGAATCACCTCACACTTTTCCGCATTAAACTCCATTTGCCACCTCTCAGCCCAGCTCTGCAGCTTATCTATGTCCCTCTGTAACCTGCAACATCCTTCCGCACTATCCACAACTCCACCGACTTTGGTGTCATCTGCAAATTTACTAACCCATCCTTCTACGCCCTCATCCAGGTCATTTATAAAAATGACAAACAGCAGTGGCCCCAAAACAGATCCTTGAGGTACACCACTAGTAACTGAACTCCCGGATGAACATTTCCCATCAACCATCACCCTCTGTCTTCTTACAGCTAGCCAATTTCTGATCCAAACAGCTAAATCACCCTCAATCCCATGCCTCCGTATTTTCTGCAATAGCCTACCGTGGGGAACCTTATCAAAGGCTTTACTGAAATCCAAATACACCACATCAACCGCTTTACCCTCATCCACTTGTTTGGTCACCTTCTCGAAGAACTCAATAAGGTTTGTGAGGCACGACCTACCCTTCACAAAACCATGTTGACTATCCCTAATCAAATTATTCCTTTCTAGATGATTATAAATCCTATCTCTTATAATCCTTTCCAACACTTTACCCACAACCGAAGTAAGGCTCACTGGTCTATAATTACCAGGGTTGTCTCTACTCCCCTTCTTGAACAAGGGGACAACATTTGCTAGTCTCCAGTCTTCTGGCACTATTCCTGAAGACAATGACGACATAAAGATCAAAGCCAAAGGCTCTGCAATCTCCTCTCTAGCTTCCCAGAGAATCCTAGGATAAATCCCATCCGGCCCAGGGGACTTATCTATTTTCACACCTTCCAGAATTGCTAACACCTCCTCCTTATGAACCTCAATCCCGTCTGGTCTAATAGACTGTATCTCAGTATTCTCCTCGACTACATTGTCTTTTTCCTGTGTGAATACTGACGAAAAATATTCATTTAGCACCTCTCCTATCTCTTCGGACTCCACGCACAACTTCCCACTACTGTCCTTGACCGGCCTCAATCTTACTCTAGTCATTCTTTTATTCCTGACATACCTATAGAAAGCTATAGGGTTTTCCTTGATCCTACCTGCTAAAGACTTCTCATG